TGACCATCATTGTATTAGCTGGGCTTCCTTCGTGGCTCAGAAGGTAAAGAATCTGCCTGCCATGTCGGAGACTTGGGTTAGATCCCTGGGTGGGGAAGATCCCCTGGAAGAGGAAATGGCAACCCACTCCAGTATTCTTGCCTGGAAAACCCCATGGATAGAGGAGCCTGACTGGCTATACAGTTCATGACCTCCTCTATCCTGTCCCATAACTGCCATTTCTTTTTTTGTTTTGTGGAAAGAACCTTTAAGATCTGCTTTCTTAACAACTTTCAGGTGCAGAATACAGTATTATAAGCTATAATCACCATGCTATATGTTAAATACTCAAGCTTTTATAACTGGAAGGTTGTATCCTTTGACCAATATCTCCCCAGTTCCTCCACTCCCAGCCCCTGGTAACCACATTCTGCTCTGTTTCTCTGAGTTTGCCATTTTTAGATTCCATACATAAGTGAGATGACACAGTATTTGTCTTTCTCTGTCTGACTAATTTCACTAAGCACAATGCCCTCCAGGTCCAAGTCCAGGGAGCTTTTTAAATGTACCAGTGTCGGGGCCTTGTCCCCTAGAGATTCTAATGTAATTGTTCCGAGGTGTGTTAGAGCGTCAGTAATTTTTAAGACCTCTCTAGGTCATCTGAGTATTTGCCCAAGCTTGAGAAATACTGCTCTAAACTGTGCCATCAGGTTAATGAGTAGATTTTAGGTCCCTTTTATTACCTTTCTGTAGAAAAAGCAAGAAATTGATGGGCTGGGGTGTGAGGTCAGGTCAGCACTCAAGACCCACGAATACATCAACCAGTGGCATACTCCTGCGTTTGAAGGAGCGAGCTCTATAAAATGCAGGCTTTTCAACACCAAGTGTTAACCGGAGACCTGTTTCTTGGCTGAGCAGCAGGCATCCGCCCATTTGGAGGGGTGCTCTTCTCACTGCCTTTCCAAAATGGTAAGCTGGACTCAACCCCAAAAAGCAAACGATTCCCTCTTCAGTTCTCTCCCCTCCTTCATGGCAAGACACACATCTCAGGTTAAGTGTGAACCTTCAACAGGAGCGACCTTTGCCAGGAGCAGAGGTTAGCTTATGGCAAGCATGGCTTGAGTTATACATAATTAGAAATTATTAGCATCAATTAGTTTTTGTTCTATTAATATTTATGCTTTTAATTAAGATTGCTTCTTTATGGCATGAGAGAATGGCTATTCACCTGGAACTGTTAAAATGTTTCCTTTTCAAATTGAATAAAATTTCAGTTCCACAAAATGAATTAAATCCAAGACACCTAATATACACCATAGTGCCTACAGTTAACAATACTATACTGAATTCTTAAGCATTTGCTAAGAGCGTGGGTCTTTTGTAAAATGTTCTTACCACAAAAATATAAATAAAAATGGTGTGTGGGGGGGTACTTTTGGAGGTGATGGCTATGTTTATGACATTGGTTTCACAGGTGTGTACTCACACTAAACTCATTCAGTGATATACATTAAACATGCACACTTTTGTATACCAATCTCGCCTCAATAAAGTGGCTTATAAAACAAACAAAAAAAAGAGGTCAGGATTCTTGAGCCTTAATTTATTAACTTAGTGTTGACTACTTTAAAATGCAACCAGAGGGACTTGCCTGGTAGTTCAGTGGCTAAGACTCCATCTCCCAATGCAGGGGGCCAGGTTTCATCCCTGGTCAGGAAACCAGATCCCACATGCCAAAACTAAAGATCTCACATGCCACAACTAAGACCAAATAAGACCACAGCCAAAAAAATAAATATTTTTAGAAAATAATAATAAAATACAATGCAACCAGAAAGTAAATCTCAATTGAAAATTTAAAAATATCAAGTAGAAGAATGAATCGAATTTTTTAAGTGGTAAATAATAATCCATATAACCATGGAGATGGTGTGCCTTGTTAAAAGAAAACAGGTTGTTTGCTAACGATATGGACCCTGATGCTGGGAAAGACTGAAGGAAAAAGGAAGAAGGTGCCAGAGGATGAGATGGTTAGATAGCATCATGGACTCAATGGATGTGAATTTGAGCAAACTCCAGGAGAAAGTGGAGGACAGAGGGGCCTGACAGGCTGCAGTCTATGGGGTCACAAAGATCTGGACACGACTTAGTGACTAAACAGCAACCACCACCTCCCTGTCCATCCACAACACATAATAAAACATAGAAGTGCCCACAAGTTGGTAAAATATATTTTATTTGTTCATACAAAGAAATAGTATGAATTACCAGAATTTCATTTTCCTAGAAACATCTTTTTCTGTGTAAAATTAATTTGTGTTATACATAGGACAAAATACTTGATTTAATTTTTTTTTTCCTTTTTGTACATATTGGCTATTCTAACATCCAGGTTATAGAGGAAACAGCTAGAATTTGCACAGTATTTCAGATTACTGGGTGGAATGAAACTCAGTCATAAATTAATGTTACAAAAGTGAAAAAAAAAAATCTAACCACACCTTGAAGTTTTATTGACCATCTTTCTTGATCAACTGAAAAGAAAAAGATATCGACTTCCACCTCGGCCTTTTCGACACTGAGTGTTTCTAGTTGAATGGACTCTTCCATTTTTCCTTTCTTATGAAAATATCCTGGCAGGATCGGAAACTCTATTTCTCCAATGTCTATAATGTACCTGTCACTCGGAGTGACTTCCTAGGAGGAAGGAGACAATTTCTCCTCCTTCATCTTCCAACTAGATGCTTATGATTCAGGCAGTGTACCTAAACACCTTTCCAGGTCCCACGTACCAAGTTCACAGACAACAGGACAAACACCTCAAAGACAGCGTGGGCTAGATAGGAACAACGGAAACCTCCAATTTTTTTCTCAGCACTTTTGTTTGCTTTTAAACACACTGAGTGGAGCAAAGAGTACCCCATGAATATCAGAGCTTTTCCTATAACCCGGAAGAAACCCAAAACGTGCGTTAGGACAAAATTTGCCAAGAGGTGATATGGTGTTTGCCTTCTAGCAGCGAAAAAGTTAAGTTGGTGGTCTTGCAGATGGCTGGAACAGGAAGAAAGTTAAGGTCTGATTTTATGTGTTGCCTGACTTCTCCAGGAGAAAGACATGTGGGCCCTGTAATAAGTATCACGCGATGGGGTGTAACCTTGGGAGCCGTCAGGAACAGTCAGAAACCGCAAGCCCTCAGACCCCTCAGAAGAGATGCACAGGAAATCTGATTTATTTGTCTTCCATGGAAAAACTCACTCTAGTCCTTCAGTGCTAATTATTGACATCTGTTTGGATTCAAGGATTTGACCTAGAATAGAACCTTGACTTACTTCAGTGTTCATGACTAAATGACCCTCCTTCAAGCTGAGGATTTCCTGTTTCAGTTTTAAGGCAGAGAATAAACAACTTAATCAAAAATGGTCCAGCTTAGAAAGACAAGCAGGGACCCGGAGGGGAAGGAGAAGCTTGTGTGCATTTCCCCCTCTGCTTTGTGGCAAGCCCTTCTCTGAACTTCTCTGCAATTGGACATCACGTGCCACGGCAGGGCACCAGAGTGGCCAGAAAGCAGACGGGGCAGGAGCAGGTGGTGGCTGTGGACTGATTCTGACTTGAAGCCATGCTCTGCTGTAACGGAAAAGAGGAGGTGTTCCTGGTTTTATTTCCAATCAGCTTTCTGATTGGAGAAATGTATGATCACTTAGCACCCTTATAAGGATGTCTTTGACACCCAAGCAGCAAGAAGGGAGAACCACCCTGTGATTATGGGCATTCCCCTAAGCGCAGGTTCTCCTCGGCTTAGTGGAGGCAGTAACAAAGCTACCGAATGATTATAGCATCTCAGGAATGCACAGCTCCCTGCCCCCGCCCCATGTCCATCCTCCTACACCCAACCTACATGATGACAGTTTGCTGCTAAGCACAAGCAGCTACGTGTGCAAAGACAAACCAGCTTATCCACAAGACATCCCTTAAAGACCAGTGTTTTGCTTCTCTAGCAAGCGAGTTATCCCATAGAATAGACAAAAGTGTCCTTTGTAACTACTGCAACCCAATCAGGTTGAGAACATCTTCCCATATACTCCTTGATGAAAGTATAATGCAAATGACAATTCTTTGATGGTAGAACCATTCTGGGTTAGAAAACTGAGGATCAAGTGAAGAGACTATTATTATGTCATATTGCTATAGGGTTACCAACAGCCACTAGCTGGTCAGCATCAAGTGACTCCCCCGGCCTTCCCACCTCACCGCTCCCTCCAGAGAGAAGCAGAGGAGAGCATTCCACATCAGCAGCTACAAGGCTGGTACCTCTCCTGCCAGGGCCTGGCTAGAACAAGAGACAGCCCAGGCTCGAGCGTCACAGGTGACACGGGGCCAGTGTTCCCAGTCTCTTTTTATAAGAGCCACTCCTGGTTCTGTCTGGCTGTTGGCTACAGACCATGTTGTCTGAGATGAGCTAGAAATTCCAGGGAGAGGAATTCCAGACCCCAAACAGGGGCTGGTCCTGGCATCTTGGTGGAGTCAGGAGGGGAGGCACCTGACCCCTTCAGGTCTCAACGCCCAGCACCCCTGGTTTGTGCTGGTCGTTCTGCTAGCCGGGGGGATTCTTTGGTGTGTTAAGGCAGAAATTGTCTGCCTGAGAACGGAGCACGCAGGATGCACTCGCATGCAAATTAGAAGGGAACATCTTTATTTCTAAAGCAGCAGCCAAGCACAGGACCTGGGAAAGTCAGGGGAGGGGACTGACATCTGCATACACTTCAAGCCGGCTGATGAACTGGGGATGGGGCAGAAGAGGAGGCAAGGGGGCAGCCTTCAAAATCAAAAGCTAAAGTTCATGACCTTGATCCCCTCACCAGCAGACTCTAAGAGGATGTGGATGTCCCAGCCAAGGTAGTGATTCTCCCGAGCGCTGAGTGGACTTGGGGGGGTGGGGGGGGGGGCTCTAAGAGGATGTGGATGTCCCAGCCAAGGTAGTGATTCTCCCGAGCGCTGAGTGGACTTGGGGGGGGGGGGGGGGGGTGGACCTAGCACTGTGGTCTGGAGTCTGCGCCCTTGGACGTGTCAGAAAGCGGCCGAGGAAGCTGCCATGTGGCGGTCTGTCACCTCAGAGCTCCCAGAGGTGGCCAGGCAGCCAGGGAGACCGGAGTTTCAGAACAAGGAGATGGCAAATGCATCCAGACAGCGATCGAAGGCTGCATACCCGTAACAACAAAAATCTCAAGTTGTGCTTTTCTTTTCTTTAAATACAATGGGTAGAAAGAAAACTCAAAGGAAAAAAAAAATGGAAGCACCATCCATTTCGAGGACAAGAAGGAAATATTAGAAAACACTTTGGAATGTTAACAGATTACGTGACTCTCTAAAAGAGTGTGGCTAGGCAGCTTAGTGAATTAATTGCTTATGAATTAAAAATAAATTATTATAAAATAGATTTCTGTACATTTTACATACATATAATCTCTCTCAATATTTCCTAAGCCCAAGGGAGTGCCATCAGTCCCAGCCGAAGTCGTGGCCCGTCATCTGGTAGAACTTGCGGTTGAAGGGCCGGTAGAAATCCCGCAGCTGCCGCAGCACCTGCGCGTCGATCTCGGGGTGGGGTCTGCCCTTGGTCTTGCCCAGGCAGTGGGGGCGGCCGCTGCCCTCCGCCTTCTTGAGGCAGGGGAAGCCCTTGGTCTGGTTGAAGTAGAAGTGCTTGTCCGAGATGATGCGCTTGAGGCCCAGGAAGTCCTGCACGCGGCCCAGCTCGCCGGCCGGGTCGCGCACCAGGCGCTCGCCGCTCACGAAGAGCATCTGGCGGGCGGGGAAGTGGCGCAGCCAGCGCTCCAGGTGCTCCGCGTACAGGCCGATCTGGATGGCGCTCCACGAGCGGTCCACCAGGCCCGCCGAGCGGTTCCGGAAGGCCAGGCTCTCGAAGCTGGGGATGTCGGGCCGCTTGGAGAGCGTCTGCGTGTAGTCCGACACGGCCCGGGTCACCGGGTCGCGCACCACCACCAGGAGCTTGGTGTCCTTGGACATGGCCGAGATGCGCGCGGGCGCCTCGCGCGTCACGAAGTAGCTGGGCGTCTTCTCCATGGTGATCTGGCCGTCCAGGGTCCTCGGCATCAGGTCCCTGCGCGAGCAAACAGACCAGGGCGGGTCAGAGGTCACAGCTCTTTGGCCACACGTCTCAGTAGCAATACTTTTTTTTTTTTTTTTGCTATTCTTGCTTTTTTTTTCTGATTTATTTTTTAATTGGAGGGTAACTGCTTTACAATATGTTAATTTCTGCTGTACAACACCCATGAATCAGCCATATGTATACATATATCCCTTTCCTCTTCCGACTCCTTCCCACCGATCCCCCCATCCCACCCCTTTAGGTCATCACTGAGCATGGAGCTGCAATGTCAGCACTTCTAATCCTAGCTCCATCTAATTTCAGTTTGTAGAAACATAAAAAAAAAAAAAAAAGCAAGTCGAATTTCACAGCTGAGAGATACAGGTATGTCCTATCTGAAGGTCGGAGGCCAGATGCTCTCCACCTAAGATGGAAAGGCACTTTAGAGTAGAAGGAGTAAGATTCGACCTTCTCTGAGATCTTCTCCTGGGTGTCTCTCCCTTATTTTGGGGGGTATCCAGCTTTTAGATAGCCCCGAATATCTGACTTCAGAACACAGAGACCTCTCACCTCTGGGTATGTGCCTTTCAAAATAATATCACCTGGGGCTCCTGGAGATTTTGGCATCCACACATCCTCCCTATCCTGCTCTGCTGTGCTTATCATGTTGGGACAAAAGCCCAGTGGACACGGGAACGAAAATGTCCCCTGAGCCAGTCAGGGTATACTAGCATCGTCACAGTGATCACCGACCAAATGCCTTCACCATGAAAAACAACCCTGAAGGCCTTGAGGCACATAGCTGCCAAAAAATCCGGAGGAGTCAGATGAAGTATAAACTGATGCGAAGAGAGAATGTGCTGAGACACAACTCTAGAAGCCTCCAAAACTACTTCAGATTCCATTTTTTATAGATAGCTGGTGGAAATCTAATTTTTATAGATCCCTGGTGTATGATGCAGGGAGCTCAAATTCAATGCTCTGTGACAACCTAGAGAGGTGGATGGGGTGGGAGGTGAGAGGGAGGTTCAAGCGGGAAGGGACATGTGAATACCTAGAGCTGATTCATGTTGATACATGGCAGAAACCAACACAATATTGTAAAGCAACTATCCTCCAATTAAAAATAAGTAATTAAAAAAGAGACAGGGACTTCCCTGGTGGTCCAGTGGCTAAGACTCACTCCTCGCTGCCAATGCAGGGGTCCTGGGCTTGAACCCTGGTCAGGGAATGTTCACATGCCACAAAAAGACCCGGTACAACCAAAATAAATAAATTAATAATAAATATTTTTAAAGAGAGAGAGACTTGTATGATATTTATTTATTGCCACGTAATTTAAATGTAACTACACAGGCAGAACTTGAGCAAACTCCAGGAGATAGTGGAGGACAGGAAAGTCTGGCAGGCTGCAGTCCATGGGGTCGCAGAGAGTCGGACGTGACTGAGCAGCTAACACTCAGGATGTTCTAAACGTCCAGCTTCAAGCCATCCCTAATCTACTGAGACCCAAATTGCTTTATGAAGATGTTTACAGAAATGATGATATAAACTCTATCACATGAGCCAGAAAAGAGCAACAGACTCCTTCACAGCGAATTAGAGGAAGCGGGCGTCTCCCTGATGGGGGGTGGCCCCGCAACCCTGCAACCAGCCCCAGCTTAAGCTAAAGCTGGATTGACCCACTTTGCCCATTTACCACTTAGATGAAGGTAGCCCTGTCATCAGGCTAATTCGATGGAGGATTAAAGAGGGCCTGGCTTTCAACTTCTTCTGCCTTTCCCTCAAAAGCAGGTCGAGTCTGATTAAGCCCAAGTTTTTTTCCCGTGTTCAGCCAACTACATCTAGACCGAGTCTACAAGAAAGGGTTCAATAGTCAGAATCCAAGTGCTATCCCTATGACTGAAGACAACCCCACCAGCCACGTTCTCCAGCATCATGCACGTGCGGCAGCTTTGGGGTCTGTCTGCAGAGGCTCTGAGTGACCAAATACAGATGCTGAAGTCCAGCCCCTGGTCGGACTCTCAGCACCCCGTGGATTGAGGTGTGTGCCCCTCACCTGTCCATGCCTCCGTTCTCTCATTTGGTCCATTAGAAAAAGGATGATGTCTGCCACCCAGAGTTTCTCCTTGGGACCGAGCCTGGGAGCTAACTGGTGCCAAAGAAAGGTTGTCAGTTCCCTACTGCTGACAGTGTCAGGGAAAGGGTGCAAGGAGGCAAGGCCTGCACGCAGGGACTGGTCACTGCCTTGGTTCACCTGCAGAGGAGCCATGGGGATGCCCCCGGGACAGGCAAAGCCTCAGGAAGAGTGGACGTGGCTCTCTGCCCACCTGGGCTCCAGAACCACCTCTGAACCTTTGCTGCCTTCATCCCCTCACCGTCCCTAAACAAGGGCCTGGCGATCATGGAACAAAATGGCCAAGTGAGAGAGGCCATACCAGGACGAGCAGAAAAGGAACAGGAGATGGTTACCATCTTACAGTCCAAAGGCACAGCCTACTCGGCCACAGTGCATCTCTGGACCGGGGTCAGATTCTTGGGTGACCCCTGGCACGCTGCAGTATGAGCTCCAAAGGACTCTGCCTCTGGACTGGGGCAGTCCAGAGGTTGCACACGGATGTCAGCAAGCACTCAGGGTCTTAAGACTTTCTCTGTTTATCAAATAACAGCTGGGGAACTGCGGACACCGAGTCTCAGTCCCCGTCCACTGCAGGCTCCACAGACACCTTTCCCTGGGTGTGCGTGGTGTGGACACACAGCAGCTGATGGGCGAACATGCTACGGGGTTCTCCATCATTTCAGCAGGTGCTCCCTGAGTCCTCTCCATGGGTTTCCAGGTGCATTTCTGTGGTGGGGGAGGGGAGTAGAATATGCCACACAAAATATGTCTCTTTGGGTTAAGGATTATTTTAGGCTGATTATTTTTAAGAAACAATGGACGTTGAAAAGCTCTGAAAACCAGTTAATGCTAACTTTCAGTATGAGATATTTATATTTATAAGGGAAATGCTGGGAAAGATAGGGGGCAGGAGGAGAAGGGGGTAACAGAGGACAAGATGGTTGCATGGCATCATAGACTCAGTGGACATGAGTCTGAGCAAACTCCGAGAGATAGTGAAGGACAGTGAAGCCTGGCATGCTGCAGTCCACGGGGTCACAGAGTCGGATACGACTGAGCAACTGAATAACAAAGTGTCTTCCTGTCTGTACCAGGAGAAGACTGACTATATCTCTAGAATCTCGTATCCATGGAGTTAAGTCTGCCCAACAGCTGTGCCGTTATCTACTGAGCTTTTCCCCGCCACCTCCCAGAACTGGCCTCCCCCTTCCAAAAATCTTTTGTCTCCAGCTAGAGATGGCATTTAAGATGGAGGCTTGGGCTGTTTCCAAGACTTGCTCAGGTTTCCTGGGCATCTCCCTTGTACACAGGAGGGACACATGTTATTAAACTTATTTGTTTTTCTTCTGCTGACTGTCTTTTTTTTTTTTTTTTTTTTTTTTTTTGCTGACTGTCTTTTATTACAGACAGCTGGGTTGGGTGGGGGGGTGGTTCCTCAGCTAAGAACCTAGAAGGGAGGAGGGAATATTTTTCCTCCCCTCCCCTGGCACCGGGGCCTGGGCTCAGACAGAGTGGGGTACCTCCCTAGCGTGGCCCAAGAAGTGTGCTATTGACCCTTCTGGGCAGTTATAGGCAAGACCCTGTTCTTGCCTCCGTCAGCTTTTCTGTCACCCTCTCCCCCACCAGACCCCCAGCACCCCTGGCCCTGGAGCAAAGCCCTTTTCCATTCACTCCCTGGGCCCAACTCCCTCCCACCCTCACCCTTTACTGGCCAGGCTCTCCTGTCCGGACACTCAGAACCTCTCCGGGCGTAGCAGTGGCTCCAAGAAGAAAAGATGGAGACATGGCCAAGGGTGATCCCCCTTACATGGGCCCTGCAGCTCACCCCAGTGACCCCTCCAGTGGTGGCTCCAGCTAAAGGCCGGCCTCCCAAGCCAGCAGGTGTGTTGCAGTTTAATTGAGCAGCTCATTAGGAAAGCCAGTTTCTCAAACTGATAGCCACAGCTAGTAATCTAGGCAGCACTTTGGGGCTCCCAGAGAAACTTTCACATACTGTGCCTCACCTTGTGCACAAGCCTTCGAGGGGGCATTGCCAGCCCCAACCTACTGAGGAGGGAGCTGGGGCTGGCAGGGAGGGTCACCCGCTGCCAGCAGGCCAAGAGCTGAGACCCAAAGTAGGGCCCTCTGATACCCCCAACACCACACCTCCTCTACCCAGCCTTCTGTGTTTTTCCTACTATGATGAAATGTACAAAGAGCTACACACCTGTCCTTTCTTTAAAGAGATACCTGTATTTCTTCTTCTCATTTGGAGATTAGCATCATAATAATAGGTATTCCAGGGCTAGGATCACATGACTACGATCATAATTGTTCAAAGATGAGTCAGATTTTGAAACAACAGATGTCTCAGGCTCACACACGCTTTCTGCTAACTGCATAGGATGAGGCTTGGGGGTCAAGACAGGATGGAATGGTAGTTCCTCCTGCCAGAGGCCACCCCCCACCTCATCCTCCCCTCTCCACCACGTGGGTGGGAAGGGACACTCTTCCCCACCTGGCATACATTCCCCACGGTGCTTATGAAGTCAGTGGACCTGGAGGTCTCTCCGGGGCAAGTCTCAGGAAGATGTATGCTCCCACACACCCATCCTCAGGACAAGAAGAAGAGGTGCTAAGCAGAGGTCTCAGGTGACACCCACGACATTCAGGCCTGGGGATGACCAGTCTGGGAACACCAGGGCCCTCAAAGACCTGGACCACGGAGCAGGAACCTGGGAAACTGGGGATTTGCAGCAGGTATTTCAGGCTTTCAACATATTTCAGGAAACTCAAAAGAAAGCAATGGGCCCCGTGGCGGTGGCGGGATTCAGCCTTGATGCAGAGGGTGCTGGATGCCCGGGCCTCGCCCTAGACCCATGGAATCAGGCCCCTGTGGGTGGGGTCCCAACAT